CCCCCCTAAGCTCACAGAAGTGGTTTGACACAAGACCTCAGCAGCCAATGACACTGACCCCTTCAAACTGATTTTTAACGCATACTTCACGCGTATTTCACGCGCATTTAACACGTTGAATACACGTATTTAACGCGCTGATTTTTCACACGTAAAATACACGTGTTTAACGTGTTGTTGACGGTTAAAATTCATGTGTTTTTGGCCCTTATGGCCTTCCATAGGTGACCATACATGCCATTTTCCCAGGATTTCTATATTGGCCAGGATTTCTATATTGCCTAAAATATCTAGGTTTTGGCTTTGTTTGCGTGTGCAGACCTCAGGTGTATGACATCAAAATACCATACAGACGGTTCCTTATGCTTTCAAAATGCTCTCGAGGTACTTTGATGTCAAACACTGATCGATCTGAGCCACGCTGCTTTTAAGGCTGATTTATACTTCTGCGTCGGACCTAGCCCGTAGCCTTTACGCCGTAGGCTATGCGTCAGTTTTCATTTATACTTCTGCGTCAACGTGCAGTACACATGCAAACCGCTAGTTCGCAGTGTCCACGGGCATGTTGCTGGTGTAACCCGCAGTACCACGGCAAAAGCCGAAGAAGAAGCGGCTCGTCGAGGAAGCATTATAGCCGTGACGGCGGCAAATAAATATCAAATCATTAAATCATTATTTAAAACTACAAAAAGGAGACAACAACGGAACAGGAGATGATGGCATTCTTTCAATCTGCACAAGGACTTGTACCACGGCAGATCAACATTGTTTGTTGCGGACAACTACTGATGTATAATGCTATGTAGTATAATAAATGATAAGACACTTGGTCTTTGCTTTGTTTTATTTTATATAAGGTGTAACATTGAAATATATTAAAGTGCACATAAACACACACAAAACTCAAGTACATATGGAGGGAGTGGTTCTTGCAGACCAATCACAGCGCTTACAGTCTGCGTAGAATTGACGCGCTGTTAGATTTTTGGAGGTGCGCACGTCAGGCTACGGCGTATGGGTGTGCGTCTATGCATAAGCTACAGCGTAGGTCCGACGCAGAAGTATAAATCAGCCTTGACTCATAAAGGCTACGGCGTAGGTCCGACGCAGAAGTATAAATCAGCCTTGCAGTCGAACACATATCCTATACGCGTAATTGCATCGCTTTGACCGTAGATCCCACCTTCTCACACACACCATGATTGGTCCATTATGTACAATGCCTGCATGTTATTGGTCAAACTACTTTTCGATCATTACCTTCAGCAAGCATGAAAACAGGAAAAAACAAAGCCAAAACAAATCCTGGCAAGGATGCGTCCTGGGAAAATGGCACGTATGGTCACCCTATACTATGCCATTTAGCATCTTTACACTTTCAACAATTTGCTCTAAAGTAGTTCAACAAATGCGAATTTAAAATAAGGAACCGTGTTTTTGGTTTGTAATACGTACATTTGTAAACACCCTCATCCAAATTTTCGGCCACGTTCGGTTATAACGCATCCTCTTCTTCTTTATGATGTATCGTCTCGCGTGGCCTCCTAGGATAGAAAAGTATCCATCAACGAGCACTCAAGACGCTGGGCAGAAGCAGTACGGAGTAGGACATCCGGGAACTTCTCGACTACTCTTTTATGAATACTGAGGTTCCGGACATACAGGTGCATCTCAATAAATTAGAATGTCGTAGAAAAGTTAATTTGCTTGGATACAGCACTCTGTGAACAGCCAGCTTCTTTGGCAATGAATGTTTGTGGCTTACCCTCCTTGTGAAGGGTGTCAATGATTGTCTTCTGGACAACTGTCAGATCAGCAGTCTTCCCCATGATTGTGTAGCCTAGTGAACCAAACTGAGAGACCATTTTGAAGGCTCAGGAAACGTTTGCAGGTGTTTTTGGCATGTCACCATATTCTAATTTGTTGAGATAGTGAATTGGTGGGTTCTTGTTAAATGTGAGCCAAAATCATCACAATTAAGTAAATTACTTCAGTCTGTGTGCATTGAATTTATTTAATACACAAGTTTCACAATTTGAGTTGAATTACTGAAATAAATGACATTCTAATTTATTGAGATGCACCTGTACTTATTCGCTCGACTATTGCTTTTCCCCTACTATATAGTAGAGAAGTAGGCGGTTTCGGATGCACTTTAAAGGGGTTCTATTATGCTCTTTCACAAAGTCTTGATTTTGTTTTGGGGGTGTACTAGAACATGCTTTCATGCTTGGTGGTTCGAAAAACGCATAATTTTTCACAATTTACATTATTAAAATACCTTGTAACAGATCTAGTAAGCTGTTACCTTACTTTCGTGTTTAAAGTCAGTGGTCATTTTCCTGCCAGTCATGAGGGGGCGTGAGGGAGCCATTATCAGTGAAGTTTCTCTAGATCAGAGAATAAGAGGAGTGGGAAGTTTGAGGAAGGACACTTGTGAGCTGGGAGTGTTTGCTCTCCCCATGCTTACTCAAACCCTTATTGAGGAACATTGGTGTTCTATATCTCAATGCAAGTTGCTTTATGGTTTCTTTAATATTGTCAGAGGTTTTATGGTTGGTAATGTACTTTGTATCCTGAACCTCATGTTGTATTGTTTGTTTTGTTTGTCTAGAGGGTTTGTGTATTCACTTAGTTTTGAGGGGATTTCAACTCAACTGGTCGATGTTTCTGATTTACCATTTACTTCAACCTTGGAGTTTCGTCTGAACTGCTCTCTACTCTACTCTGGATTATCGCTATGGATGATCTTGGACTTTATCCTTTTAACATCCTAAACATCTGCAATACGGTGACAAACCAAGGACATCTGTGGTTATTCAGAACTTTAATGTGAATGGACATCTAAAAGGTTTTGTCTCTAAATAGGGACAGACCAGGAGTGCTGTTGCACAATATATGGTTTAGATGTATATGGTATTGGATGTTGTAGTTGTGTGCTTTTAAAGGAAGTATAGTATGCTATTCAAAGGTGATTGATCCCCCTTCATTTACGTTATGTGACATTTGATGTTGGTGACTGTTACATATTTGGCGACCGAGCAGGGACCTTGATCACCACTTTAGCAATTTCCTAGAGAGTGAAATGAATGCATGTTCTTTGAATTAATCATATGCTATGTCTTTCCAATATATTTATGTGTAACCTCAATCTTTTCCCCAATTGTTTACCCAAGTGGTAGGTTACAAAATGTGGAAGCTTTTGTAATTAATGCTGATTTATCTTTTGTAGTGTAAGTTTTAGCGGAAGCTCCTGCATGAGACGACACAGAGTCTAACCCCAAAATGGAATCAGATTATAGTTCTGAACCTTTCACGACCCGGCATGAGCCAGTTCAAGAGCTAATACATTCCTTCAGCAGTTTTTATATAGAACCAGAAGGAGGGTTGGCTGTTCCAGAAGAGGATAATGACTCAAGTTGTCTACCACCTCCACTACCACTGGATGAAGATGAGGAAAGTTAGGTCAGTCTGACCATTGCAACCAAGGTGGGTCAACTTGCACTCAGAATGGACAAGATGGAGAAAGAGGGTGTGGAACGTGTCCAGGGAGTGGAAAGACATATTCATAATCATTTTCAGCAGTATGACCGTCGATTGACTGCTGTAGAGGGACAGATGCAAGATGTAGCAAAGCAAACCCAGTCATCCATTCCACCCAGTCATCACCTGACACCCAAAGCCTGACAGAGTTGGAGGAGAAGCTTACTGACTTTGTAGAAAAGCAAACTAGACTCCTGAAGAAATCTCTAGAAGACCAATTGCAAGAGATGGGAAAGGCTGTGATGGATTGTATGAAAAGAAGGGACAACCATCTCAAGTCCTTGATGTGTCTTACGCCTGGAGCTGCTTCTACACCTACTAGTACAGCAATGTCAGATGCACAAATGCCTCCCATGCTACACCAGTTGCCCTACAAAATGGCTGTAAAATGGAATTCCATAAGTTTTGTAGTGCAGTAGATGAAGACCCAATAGCTTATCTGGAGAAGTGTGTGGAGTACTTAGCTGTACGTCCAATGAGTGATGCTGAGATACTAGCAACATTACCATCTGTGTTGATCTGTTTAATTCTCACCTACTCTTTTATGAATATTAAGGATTCGGACATACTTATTCGCTCGCCTACTGCTTTTCGCCTACTATATAGTAGAGAAGTAGGCAGTTTCGGACGCAGCCAGTGACTCGTATTAATGACCTATTTTATTTCCCTTTCAGTTTAAATATGACTTTTGTTGGTTGAGAGTATAGAATTAACTACCCCTGTTTTCCCCCCTTCTTTTATGGACATCTGATGAGTGTTTTATTTGGGAGAAAATGATCGGATCTGCTGATTTTATTTGCTTTATTCAGGTGTCGGGAAAACGTCACCAAGGGGCTACTGAATTCATTTAATTATGATTGTATTGAATACCTTGTCATTTGCAATTTTCTTTTTTAACCTTGTGCTTATATGGATCTTTGATTTGCTTTCAAAATTATGTATGAAGAAAAAAAAGAATGAATTTACAAACTGCAAATAGTTTTTTGTCTTTCATCGTACAATGTGCAAGCAATCTATTTAGTTTTTTGTAACTATGGTTTAAAATTTCACTGAGCTATCACTTTATTTTGAAATTCATATGGTGACAGGCCAAATCCTCTCTGGCGCCCGAACTTTAATGTAAATAATCTTTTCCGAACTGTCATTAGGGCGTGCCACCATAACATACTATACTTGTGGGGACATTTGGTCCCCATAACGTAGGTAATACCAGTACACAAACACACACATCCTCTGAATATGCATTTTATTTTCTATGATTGAACTATTACTGTATACATAGCGACCTATAAAGGGTGTATCAACTGTACCCACTTTGCCACCTTGTATATTTAAAATGCTATGCAATCTTTTTAACATTAATTTTAGAAAACATGTCCATTAATAATAGACAGTTGAAATATCACAAATATAATAATAATAATTTGCGTAGCATGTGTGTAAATGTGACTTTTAACCTATTATCATAACACCGTACAACTAAACAGCATGTGAAGCAATAGGACACCAATCCGGGTACAGTTGATACACTGTGTCTCAACCGTACCCCACTGCCATACTTGTACTTTTCTCTAGATTATGAAATATGTCATATAATATGTATATTTTTAGAGCACAGATTAACGTTTGCAATGATATATGGTAAGATTAACAATCATAAAAGAATAATAAGCTATTCATTGTGGAAAGGACATGGTGAAATGAAAATCTTACCTTGTAAAAAAAACTTTTGCCGATATCTTCGGAGTGGAAAGACGCACACGTTTCAAATTTCCCACAATCAAAGAGAACACTAATACACATGTGTGGGGGAAAAAAATCACGGCTTGGGGTTCTTGTGTACGTAAGTTATTTAAGGTGTTTCAACTGTACACATGTCTCAAGTACCATAAATAATATTTTGCCATTCAAATGCATAGCGAATATGGAAACATTTGATTTTGTGTCGAATGAGAGACCATGAGAGTTGGTTTCAGTTTCGTTTTAGCCTAAATTAAATCATTTTGGCTTGTCGTTTATATTGCTATAGCTGTCACGTCACGCTGTTGATGAGTCACGAGTAAACGAGAACTGTCTTTAATCAAGGAAACACAGGAGATAATCCACAATAGGCGCTTGAGCCAACACATGTAGAGAACGAGTAGACCTGACAAACACAAACTGAACAGACTAGGACTTTTATACAGGGGATGACTGGGGAACACAGGTGACATCAATGGAACATAATCAAACTAAACGAGGACAGGAACATGACCAAATAAGGAAACACAGGAAGGCCTACGGGGGCAAAACCGGTCCAAAAGTCTAACAATAGCTTCTTATATTTTTAATTCTTCTTTTCTAAATGCTGTTAATTGAAAGGCTTTGTTGTGGAGTGAATGGAAATAAAATAGCCTAGCTATGTTTACAGTGTTTATTATGTTTGTAAATATTTTTATAAAAAAAAAATTTTTTTAAATAAATTTTTAACCATGCAGCAAACCTTTTTAAATATTTTGATAAATTACTGAGAAAACAAAATTACTTTTTAAACCGTTTAACTGATTGTATTAATCAGTCAAAATTCTTAAGGTCGGTTAATGGTTAACTGGTTAAAATGAACATCCCTAATAAAAATCCCTAATAAATTATATACAGTGATAAATGCTATGTTGAATAGCATTGCATTATGAATATACATTATGCATATAAAAAAATACCCATGATGACTTGAAGAACAGAGACACACCATTTAGTCACAATCGTGTATTTAATGTCTTCATTCTTCATCAGTTAAAACGTCCTATCTGTTTTCTGTTCAGCTACTGCAGCGATAGCATATGCCTTTGTCCATATTAGGGATTTCCTCCAACTTGATTTTTGTGAGTATTTCATTTTATGACTTTTTTCACTTATGGTTTTACTGCATGAGGGCGCCCTCCGGCTACCAGTATGAATGAAACAAAAACCCACCATTTCACTATCTCAATAAATTAGAATACTTCATAAGACCAATAAAAAAACATTTTTAGTGAATTGTTGGCCTTCTGGAAAGTATGTTCATTTACTGTACATGTACTCAATACTTGGTAGGGGCTCCTTTTGCTTTAATTACTGCCTCAATTCGGCGTGGCATGGAGGTGATCAGTTTGTGGCACTGCTGAGGTGGTATGGAAGCCCAGGTTTCTTTGACAGTGGCCTTCAGCTCATCTGCATTTTTTGGTCTCTTGTTTCTCATTTTCCTCTTGACAATACCCCATAGATTCTCTATGGGGTTCAGGTCTGGTGAGTTTGCTGGCCAGTCAAGCACACCAACACCATGGTCATTTAACCAACTTTTGGTGCTTTTGGCAGTGTGGGCAGGTGCCAAATCCTGCTGGAAAATGAAATCAGCATCTTCAAAAAGCTGGTCAGCAGAAGGAAGCATGAAGTGCTCCAAAATTTCTTGGTAAACGGGTGCAGTGACGTTGGTTTTCAAAAAACACAATGGACCAACACCAGCAGATGACATTGCACCCCAAATCATCACAGACTGTGGAAACTTAACATTGGACTTCAAGCAACTTGGGCTATGAGCTTCTCCACCCTTCCTCCAGACTCTAGGACCTTGGTTTCCAAATGAAATACAAAACTTGCTCTCATCTGAAAAGAGGACTTTGGACCACTGGGCAACAGTCCAGTTCTTCTTCTCCTTAGCCCAGGTAAGACGCCTCTGACGTTGTTTGTGGTTCAGGAGTGGCTTAACAAGAGGAATATGACAACTGTAGCCAAATTCCTTGACATGTCTGTGTGTGGTGGCTCTTGATGCCTTGACTCCAGCCTCAGTCCATTCCTTGTGAAGTTCACTCAAATTCTTGAATCGATTTTGCTTGACAATCCTCATAAGGCTGTGGTTCTCTCGGTTGGTTGTGCATCTTTTTCTTCCACACTTTTTCCTTCCACTCAACTTTCTGTTAACATGCTTGGATACAGCACTCTGTGAACAGCCAGCTTCTTTGGCAATGAATGTTTGTGGCTTACCCTCCTTGTGAAGGGTGTCAATGATTGTCTTCTGGACAACTGTCAGATCAGCAGTCTTCCCCATGATTGTGTAGCCTAGTGAACCAAACTGAGAGACCATTTTGAAGGCTCAGGAAACGTTTGCAGGTGTTTTTGGCATGTCACCATATTCTAATTTGTTGAGATAGTGAATTGGTGGGTTCTTGTTAAATGTGAGCCAAAATCATCACAATTAAGTAAATTACTTCAGTCTGTGTGCATTGAATTTATTTAATACACAAGTTTCACAATTTGAGTTGAATTACTGAAATAAATGACATTCTAATTTATTGAGATGCACCTGTACTTATTCGCTCGACTATTGCTTTTCCCCTACTATATAGTAGAGAAGTAGGCGGTTTCGGATGCACTTTAAAGGGGTTCTATTATGCTCTTTCACAAAGTCTTGATTTTGTTTTGGGGGTGTACTAGAACATGCTTTCATGCTTGGTGGTTCGAAAAACGCATAATTTTTCACAATTTACATTATTAAAATACCTTGTAACAGATCTAGTAAGCTGTTACCTTACTTTCGTGTTTAAAGTCAGTGGTCATTTTCCTGCCAGTCATGAGGGGGCGTGAGGGAGCCATTATCAGTGAAGTTTCTCTAGATCAGAGAATAAGAGGAGTGGGAAGTTTGAGGAAGGACACTTGTGAGCTGGGAGTGTTTGCTCTCCCCATGCTTACTCAAACCCTTATTGAGGAACATTGGTGTTCTATATCTCAATGCAAGTTGCTTTATGGTTTCTTTAATATTGTCAGAGGTTTTATGGTTGGTAATGTACTTTGTATCCTGAACCTCATGTTGTATTGTTTGTTTTGTTTGTCTAGAGGGTTTGTGTATTCACTTAGTTTTGAGGGGATTTCAACTCAACTGGTCGATGTTTCTGATTTACCATTTACTTCAACCTTGGAGTTTCGTCTGAACTGCTCTCTACTCTACTCTGGATTATCGCTATGGATGATCTTGGACTTTATCCTTTTAACATCCTAAACATCTGCAATACGGTGACAAACCAAGGACATCTGTGGTTATTCAGAACTTTAATGTGAATGGACATCTAAAAGGTTTTGTCTCTAAATAGGGACAGACCAGGAGTGCTGTTGCACAATATATGGTTTAGATGTATATGGTATTGGATGTTGTAGTTGTGTGCTTTTAAAGGAAGTATAGTATGCTATTCAAAGGTGATTGATCCCCCTTCATTTACGTTATGTGACATTTGATGTTGGTGACTGTTACATATTTGGCGACCGAGCAGGGACCTTGATCACCACTTTAGCAATTTCCTAGAGAGTGAAATGAATGCATGTTCTTTGAATTAATCATATGCTATGTCTTTCCAATATATTTATGTGTAACCTCAATCTTTTCCCCAATTGTTTACCCAAGTGGTAGGTTACAAAATGTGGAAGCTTTTGTAATTAATGCTGATTTATCTTTTGTAGTGTAAGTTTTAGCGGAAGCTCCTGCATGAGACGACACAGAGTCTAACCCCAAAATGGAATCAGATTATAGTTCTGAACCTTTCACGACCCGGCATGAGCCAGTTCAAGAGCTAATACATTCCTTCAGCAGTTTTTATATAGAACCAGAAGGAGGGTTGGCTGTTCCAGAAGAGGATAATGACTCAAGTTGTCTACCACCTCCACTACCACTGGATGAAGATGAGGAAAATTAGGTCAGTCTGACCATTGCAACCAAGGTGGGTCAACTTGCACTCAGAATGGACAAGATGGAGAAAGAGGGTGTGGAACGTGTCCAGGGAGTGGAAAGACATATTCATAATCATTTTCAGCAGTATGACCGTCGATTGACTGCTGTAGAGGGACAGATGCAAGATGTAGCAAAGCAAACCCAGTCATCCATTCCACCCAGTCATCACCTGACACCCAAAGCCTGACAGAGTTGGAGGAGAAGCTTACTGACTTTGTAGAAAAGCAAACTAGACTCCTGAAGAAATCTCTAGAAGACCAATTGCAAGAGATGGGAAAGGCTGTGATGGATTGTATGAAAAGAAGGGACAACCATCTCAAGTCCTTGATGTGTCTTACGCCTGGAGCTGCTTCTACACCTACTAGTACAGCAATGTCAGATGCACAAATGCCTCCCATGCTACACCAGTTGCCCTACAAAATGGCTGTAAAATGGAATTCCATAAGTTTTGTAGTGCAGTAGATGAAGACCCAATAGCTTATCTGGAGAAGTGTGTGGAGTACTTAGCTGTACGTCCAATGAGTGATGCTGAGATACTAGCAACATTACCATCTGTGTTGATCTGTTTAATTCTCACCTACTCTTTTATGAATATTAAGGATTCGGACATACTTATTCGCTCGCCTAAGGGACAGATGCAAGATGTAGCAAAGCAAACCCAGTCATCCATTCCACCCAGTCATCACCTGACACCCAAAGCCTGACAGAGTTGGAGGAGAAGCTTACTGACTTTGTAGAAAAGCAAACTAGACTCCTGAAGAAATCTCTAGAAGACCAATTGCAAGAGATGGGAAAGGCTGTGATGGATTGTATGAAAAGAAGGGACAACCATCTCAAGTCCTTGATGTGTCTTACGCCTGGAGCTGCTTCTACACCTACTAGTACAGCAATGTCAGATGCACAAATGCCTCCCATGCTACACCAGTTGCCCTACAAAATGGCTGTAAAATGGAATTCCATAAGTTTTGTAGTGCAGTAGATGAAGACCCAATAGCTTATCTGGAGAAGTGTGTGGAGTACTTAGCTGTACGTCCAATGAGTGATGCTGAGATACTAGCAACATTACCATCTGTGTTGATCTGTTTAATTCTCACCTACTCTTTTATGAATATTAAGGATTCGGACATACTTATTCGCTCGCCTACTGCTTTTCGCCTACTATATAGTAGAGAAGTAGGCAGTTTCGGACGCAGCCAGTGACTCGTATTAATGACCTATTTTATTTCCCTTTCAGTTTAAATATGACTTTTGTTGGTTGAGAGTATAGAATTAACTACCCCTGTTTTCCCCCCTTCTTTTATGGACATCTGATGAGTGTTTTATTTGGGAGAAAATGATCGGATCTGCTGATTTTATTTGCTTTATTCAGGTGTCGGGAAAACGTCACCAAGGGGCTACTGAATTCATTTAATTATGATTGTATTGAATACCTTGTCATTTGCAATTTTCTTTTTTAACCTTGTGCTTATATGGATCTTTGATTTGCTTTCAAAATTATGTATGAAGAAAAAAAAGAATGAATTTACAAACTGCAAATAGTTTTTTGTCTTTCATCGTACAATGTGCAAGCAATCTATTTAGTTTTTTGTAACTATGGTTTAAAATTTCACTGAGCTATCACTTTATTTTGAAATTCATATGGTGACAGGCCAAATCCTCTCTGGCGCCCGAACTTTAATGTAAATAATCTTTTCCGAACTGTCATTAGGGCGTGCCACCATAACATACTATACTTGTGGGGACATTTGGTCCCCATAACGTAGGTAATACCAGTACACAAACACACACATCCTCTGAATATGCATTTTATTTTCTATGATTGAACTATTACTGTATACATAGCGACCTATAAAGGGTGTATCAACTGTACCCACTTTGCCACCTTGTATATTTAAAATGCTATGCAATCTTTTTAACATTAATTTTAGAAAACATGT